TAAAAGACTGTTGATGGTAGTAAGATCTGGTGTCAGAGGTCAACAAATTTGGGAAATGATTGAGGAGGCTAACAATGTTTTGGGAATATTTTCCTCATTAGCCTTCTTTAATGATATCAATGCCCCAAAATTGAAACACTTTTGTGCAAGGAGACTCCAGTTTTTTGTTCACCCCTTCGTGTATAGAGCTTTGAAACTGATGTTCACCTAGGATATTGGTTGCCTGTCTCATGATAGTATCAAGAGTGAGATGGGAACAACTTCAATAGGACAGACTGTGTTCTCATGCCAGCCATGTTCAATGCAGTAGTGCAATCCTAATCGGTTTGATGATGGCACTCTAGTTAGCTAGTGTGAGTGCCTGAGGTTGCAGTCTTGGAGGGCAAGGCTCACTCACAACATTCAGCATCCTGTGATGAATGCATATTGTGTATAAGAGACCCAGTTTTCAACTCACGATCATGAAAGCATTCTGTCTAGTGGGTTTTACCTCTATTCAGTATGTTTTGATGGATGCTCAAGATGAGTTTCCTGGCTGGGGAGCAAGTTTTGGGATGTGGCATGTGCTCTTATTTTCGCAGATCTGGCAGGCAGACTTTGCATGCTGGATGCTGCTATAAAGGATAAGGCTCTTCATCTCATTGGGGTTTATGCACCCAATGGCCATGTTAAGTGGCCTAAATTGTTTCAGTGAATCAAGCTTGATGACATTTTTGTCAGGTAGTTTTAATGGGTGATTGAAATGCCATCCTTGACCTAGACATAGATCATATAGGGGCAAGATCATGTACTAACTGGGATGTGAAAACATTTCAAGACTTTATTGACAGGTTTGATCTTGTCAATAAGTACTGTAATGAACACTACCAGGAGGTAGTGTGGACTCAGACAAATAGGGGTGGCTTGGCTACAGCAATGTATTCTAACTACCTTGACCAAATTTTAGTTAAGAGGGTCAAGGTAGGGCTCTTGGGGTGTCCAAGTTTACTTGGATCATAGGCTTGTCTGGGTCTGTGTAAACTTAGATAAGCTGAAGGTTAAGATGGCTGGCTACTGGAAATTGAACTCATCATTATTTAGTGAGCAATATTTCCAGGACCAGCTGCTACTAATACTACACTAGGAATTGATGGGGGCCGTGGTTGGGAATATGTGGTGGGAGAAATTAAAATCTAAAATTAGGACATTTGCTGTTGAGTATATTTGTTGACTCAATCTAGATAGATTAGCAGCACAAAGGGCATGCTTTTGTGACTACTTTCAGGATCTGGTCACCAAGGAGCACAGTTTGAGCACTGCTCAGTTTGACACCTATTTGGCCAACTTTCCCTGCCTTGAGGCAGCTGAAGTGACTGGGTAAGAAGGTCCCATGACAGAGTCAGAAATCTAGAAAGCAATGAATCTGGTTGGCCTTGACAAATCTGTAAGCTTGAATGTACAGATGATGTAATGGATAATGGCCTGGAATTGTTAATCAGAGAGCTAAGTTCCAATTTCATTTGGGTTTGTTACACTTACATGCAAATACCTTTGGGGAAGGCATTAATACACCTCTTCTCTCCAAGATATGGGTTAATTGGTAGAACATGTAAATCATTATTATCCCCCTACAAAAAAAATTACAATCTAAAAATATTTTCTGGCTTTAAATAACCTGAAAATGATCAATAAACTGTAGAAAATGAATCAATCAATCAATTTCCCATACTGGAGTTTAGGGAGATGCTTAGCAGTTTCTAAAGCTGGTAAGCATCTCCTTAAACATTTCAAACAGTAAACATTAGTTTTTAAAAAATGATTATTCTTGTGAATAGAAGAAGTGCATTAAATTTTTAACAGATAATATAAATAACTTTGTGACTGAACTGTCACTTGAAAACCCTCTCTTAATTGTGGAAAGGAGTCTAAAGTAAGCTTAGTGCAGTTAAAGTTGATTGTTTAGAAAATAGGAATTTTTTATGTACAGTTCTAATTAGTCAAATGGAGTCTATATTATGATACATTTAAAGTAATCAGAGTCTTTTGACAGCAACACTATAACTGCATCAGTTTTTCTTTTGTTATTATTGCTGATTTTGTATAAAGAGCATTTAGTTTTGGAAGGAAAGGTATAACAAGGATTAGATTTTCAAACAGCGTGTATTTGTTTAATATACATGATATATTTACAGTTGTGAGAAAATTGGCAAAAATCATTGACATGTTGTTTTCGGTTGCTGTTTGCCAGGAAAATGATTAGGTGTAATAGTGTTGTTGGCAGTGTTGGGAGTTTACTGATTTCTTGGGTTGGTTTGGCTAAGGTCACAGGATATGTCTGGAGTGGATTTAACTGTTGGTTGGGTTTGTTGATAGATCATTTGTGATGGTATTGATGAGCTGGCTGTCATGTGATGCCAAGATATTGAAGCTGAATTGCCTGGTAAGGTGGGTTGGCATGTTAAGCAATTGAAGTCACAGTGGTCGGTTGATTTGTGGTAGTGTACAGGGGTTCCCAAGGTGACAGCAGAGGTTATGAGAGATTAGCTGTAGCAAGTAGGCTTGTAGCAGGTCAAGAGGGATGTTTCAATTGGATTCAGGTTGAATGTTGTATCAATGAAAAATGGGGTCACAGTGGTGATGGCAAGAGTATACCTGTAGTAGGCTGAGCAGAATGTTTCAGTTGAATTCAAGTCAAATGTTGTATCAATGAAATGGGGTCATGGTGGTGATGGTAGACTTGTAGTGGAGGGTTAAGGCTGATCATCAAAATGTCTTTGTTTGGTGTTGATTAAGGAGGTCTGGAGTTATAAATCACAGTGGGGCCTGGTGGTGTCAAAACTAGTCTCAGTTGGATTCTGTGTGTGAAGGAGCTAGGTGAGATTAGTGAAGCCATGGAAAGGTTGCAATTGTGATGAGAGAAGCAGTAATGGCAGTGACAGTGACAACAGCATATAGTTGTGCTGGCATGTGGCCTTTTGGCCCGCAATTGTGTTGGGCAGAAAACGACTTTTTTATTTTGTGTTCTGCCTTCTTGGTTTTCGCATCTGGCTGACATGCAGAATGAATCAGAAACATAATTACAGCTAAATATAACAATCTATTCTGTTTATAGGTTTAAGTAATTGTATTTAACAAAACTAAATAAAGCAAAATTGGCTATACATTTTGAGGTTAAAGATGTCAGTGTTTGTATTGAAGTCCTTAAGAAATTTATAAATTCAGTCTCACAAATATCAAATTCAGTGTCAGTTACTTTTTTATAAAGATCTTCAAAACAATCTCTCATAATGGTTGAATCTGGGAAAAATACACGTCTTAACAATACTTAATCTTTATCACTCTGTATATGACTTCATTCACTGTACAAAAAGTTTATCCTGCCACTGAAGGTGATTTTGATCCTTGAATTTGAATTTGTTTGAATTTCATAGTTGTCATATTCTACTATGGCAACAGAAAACAACTTTGAGTGAAATTAACAATAAGGTTACTACAATTGAGAGGCTTTGAAAAAGAATGCAGTAAAAAGGAAAGTAATATTATTAATGCAGTGTTAAAGGTTAACCATTCAATAATGTATATACATTATCTATAATGATCAGTGAATACTATTATTTTTATATTTCCAAAAAGGGTTTTTAATATTGATTTCTCTCTAGTCATAGAAAATGAATCACTTCTGAACTGCCAGTCCATCTTAATTACTATTTCAATTATTTATATTAGATGTATGCAACAGTTTTTGGTGCTTTTTATTAAAAAAAAAAAATGAAAAAGAAAAAAAGATTCTCAATTATGTATTGAGTGTCTAGTTTTCAAAAAAGAAGGTACTAGAAAATTTTGCACATACTTTATGTAATAAATTAATTACATTGTTATCTTACAACTTCTTTTTTCCTTCTACATTTTTCCTCAAATGTTGACACATCAATTGACATAGACTGTCTTAATTGCCAACATTTTAAGGTAAGAAACCATTGCAAAATTCAACAGTATATGCTAAATAAATAAATAGGCTTCAATCACTTTCCCACCACTGCAACATAATTTCCCAGTGCCTTTTCTATAAATACTTTCATGTTAATTGTTCTGATGAACTTTCCACAATAGTACCTAGACTTTATGAATTTAAGCACAGTACTGGATTGACAATAAAGATTCATTTTACAGTGGAAATAAATGACTAGATGTAACTAAGTTTTATGCTAACAGTTTCTTTTCTCTCACTTCTTGCTTGTTGAACGCTCTTTGGGCTTCTTGTTTCCCAGTCAACTTTGTCAGGGCCATAGCAGAGACAAATGTTTTTATTTGGGGGAGAGGATTGAATTTAGCCTTAAGTTATCAAAGTCCACCAACATGGTTAGTGGCAAGAACATTTAAAATTTCCAGTAACTCCATGCTTTGATAGTTATTTCTTTCTTTATTGGATTTTTTAAAATGAAACCTTGTAAAAAATACTACAATTGGTAAAAATTTGTGGGGAGCCAAGTCCCCACCACTCCAGCTGCTACAGCCCTGATCTTCAAAAATTTAAATGCAATGCGAATAGTTATTTTCTGTTTTCTTAATTCTTGTTCTTTTATTGTTCTCCCTCCTTAATAGGGTTTTTTTCTTATATTCTCTCACACTCAATAACACATTGTATCTTAGTTGCTTTATTGCCATAGCTGGGGTGAAATGATTAAAATAATCAAAGTGTGTAGCACTTTTCCAGACCAACAAAATATGTTGTAAATTCTTGAAATAAAAACAAATGACTGCATGACCATTATACAGGAATCAATACATCATAATGTCTTATTTGGTCATCTTTTCAATCTGTATTTCATTTTTGAATAATTCTGATTTACCATTTCATCATCACTAATCTGTTGCTTATTTTTATAATAAAAAAAATTTCATAATCATCTTAAAAAAATAGTAAATAATTTGTTTAAATATTTTTGCAGTTTAAATTTAAAACTATTTCCCAAAATCATTAAATAAAAATTAATGAAATAAATTTGTTCTTACTTTTTCAGTCTGCAGAGACATTGGAAATGATGAATGAAACAGGAGAACTGAAGGAGATTTTAAAGAAATTTGAAGTATGTTTTTCCCAATATTTATATATATATATATATATATATATATATATATATATATATATATATATATATATATATAATACATAAAAGGTTAATAGTCAGAGTTGAATTAGACAAAGTAACAGTAGTATTAAAAAGTGCTCAATATATATGTGAAAAAAAACAAAGTAAAAATAACATGTAGAGCTTTTAACTTTAAAAATCAGCTGAATCCACTTACCTTGATTGCAACATTACAGTATCCTCAGATGATTTTTATCAAATGACCACCTCACATATTTTTATTTTTTTAAAAAACTAAAGATCACTACATTATTATTTTCAAAAATAAATAAACTATTGCATTACATTAGGTGAAATAGAATAAGAGGAGGAGGATGTGAAGAAGGAAGAAAAAGAAGAAGAAGGAGGAAGAGAAAAAAGCAAGTGTATTGTAAATATATTGGTGGTGGTGAGGGCTAAAATACTTTTTTTTATCCAGCCTCATATGTACTTAAGAAAGATTTTCTGATATGTAAGCAAGGAATTTGGTTTGAAAGGTTCTTTGGATATGGAAATGTCATAATTGTTAATTTTTCCTGTTGGCAGAAGTTGCAAATATTGTTGTGATTGTTGTAAGGCTTTGAATTTTTTAAAATTTTCCATCTTACAAATGGATTCCTGTTGTTTTTTTCTTTTAAATTCCACACATGATTAGCTAGTTTGGTAGAGTACCTAAGATTTGCTAACTTCAATGATGACCTATGGTTGTACCATCTACGTTTGAAAGTGCCTACTGTACACCATATGTATGTATTATTTTGGCCATTAATATTTGAATTCTACTCAACTGACCTCCTGATTTTTAAAGTTTCATATATATATATATATATATATATATATATGCATATAAATAAATAAAGACACATAAATATTATGGACCTACGTATCAACACTCACATGCACACACACATGAAAGTAGCCATTGAAGTCAACAACCAGAGACAACATTCAGTGTCATGCTAAATGCAATTGTCATGGACTGATGATTCCATTTAGCATCTGGGTTTGACTTCAATGTACAGTTTTATATTTATATACACTCTAATATTGAGCATTTTAACTCATAAATATAGCATACTTTAAAACTATATTTTTTCATATATATATATATATATATATATATATATATATATATATATATATAATTTTCATTGAAAATGACTAACGAGGTGCTGTGGTTGAATTTTTTATATAATCTCTATGTGTTTGTATAAGTTTTTTCTTTTCAGGACATAAATTATATAAAAATTGCCCGAATGTTTTCCAAGCGCTTTTGGTTACACTTTTAGCCATTATCAAGGATGAATTTCATTTTACTATTAACTGAATATATATGCATTGTTTTATGTATGTATCTGGAGATATAGGAATGTTTTATTTTCCAAACACAGTCAGCATGTTGTGACCATGTCCATAGTTGATATTATTGAGTGTTGATTTTTTTCTTTTTTATTAGTAATGCTTCCATTATTTTTAAACTTTTTGTATATGTGGATGAGGCTATTATATTTGTATACAAATACAAATATAATAGCATCATTCACATCTACAAAATAAAAATGGGATTCTTGCTTGAATATATATATATATATATATATATATATATATATATATATAAAATATTGCACATTGAGAGATGGTGTTAATAAAAGGAAGATTGCATTGTGCATGAAACTCAGAGTTTTACTACTGGTGAGGAGAAAAATTTATTATTAATATATTTGTGTGTGTAAAATTTCAGATATAACTAAATTTGCATTGATAACGAAATACATCAACTAAGATAAGTTTTTGTTCTCTTTTTATATATATATATATATATATATATATATATATATATTTAAATTATTATATAAAATTATTATATAAAATATATATATATATATATATATATGTATATATATATATATATATATACTGACTCTCCTATTGTTTTTTGACATATGAGGGTCAAGCAGCACAGTTCTTAGAACCAACAGCCAGACAACCTGCACATATCATTTGATTATAGTGCTGAAGGCTTGTGCAGAACCAACCACACTTTTTTAAGAACCAAATACAGAGAACTGGTGCACAGTATACCATAAAGTCCTAATGACCCTCCGCAGGTTTTTTGAATAAAGAGCTGTCCTACTCCTAGACAGATCACCACCCTGCTTTTTACCCATAGTTGGGGGGGAAGAAAAAATGGGTTCATACCTTTCCCAAGGGTATTAGTGTAATGAATTTAACTTGAAGAACTTGGTTCTCTGATTCATCAATCCAATTAGCAACCTGTTACTCCACCGCGTCGCCACCCCATATATATATATATATATATATATATATATATATATAGTGCAATTAGGTTGTGTTAGTTTTATTGAAAAATATAGACATTTTACGCCTATTAAGTTTAACCATCTTTTTTTTCTAAATTGTGATTGATCTTTTGCAAAACAGTTTGGTGTAGATGTACAAATTTTCCAAAATCAATCTATTTGCCATGTGCATAATTTTAACTTGTATAAGATATCAGCAGTAGGCAGGTAGTGAATTTAGAACCATTGTAAACAATAAGTACATAAAATAATGTGAAGAAAATAATCATAAGTAATATATTTAATATTTTAAATTGGATCAAATAAATCTAAAATGCAGGAATTCTTATGTAACACATGCCATAATAATGTGCATCACTTGGAAGTAGGAGTTATATACATTAGAGAATGTTGTGTTGGTGACTATAATTATTTTGAATAAATATAATTCCTCAGAACTTTGATAAATTTTTAAAAACAGAAGTCATCATCTTTTTTTCTTTTACATGTTGAAGGTGCTCATCATTTTGGAGGTACCTATATAAATATTACATACATTATCACTACATGTTTAAGAAGATCAAAAAAATATTAACATTTTGGGTGTGGGGATATTTATATATATATAACGTTAAGGAAACAAAAACATTAGAAAGCAAAAGAAGACAAACTAGAAAAGGATCATACATAAATCAACAAAACACAAATATCTGTACATTCAATAACTGTGATAGCAGAGAGGAAAAATCAAAAATATCTATCGAGATTAAATACTCAAAGATTATGAAGTCATTATTTATAACAATATTAAAAAAAGAAGAACAACTTTTAAGCTTGTAGTGAGGCTTTATTCAATGCAATTTGTCTACCACCCATTAAGTGAAGTTCAACCATTTCTTTTATAGTTGAATAGTTTGACGGGGAGACAATTATGGTTGTCTTCCATCACAAACATACGCACTATTTTGTTTGACAGTCTTAAAGTAACAAATAATGAAAAATAAATGAGAGTAGAAAAGGCAATGCTAATTAATAAGATAAACGTTGTCGTTAAGGACAAACGATCTTCAGAAAAGTTGTAAATAAAAAATCAATAAATCAATTTAATACCAATACAGAAAAACCCAATAACTTCGGAAAAAAATCGAAATAAATAAATCAAGGGATAATAATTGTGAATTATAATTAAATTATTTTAAAAAGCAATATTTACATTTCTTGCGGTTACACTTGAAATCAGTTATTTTTTTTTATACTTCGAAAAAGACATAAATAATCTCTTAAAATTCAGGACAAAGCGATAGAGAGGTATCACCTTTGTTCAGGACGAAAGGAAAAAATGGTTGTGCCAAGAACTTTCAAAAATTAACGAAAACCCACACTTTATATAATTTTTGTAAAATAAATTTTTTATTTGAAAGACTCTCTCTAGTCCTAATCTGTATGAAAAGAAAAATTAACTTCCACGAAGTTTTAGGCATTTTATTTTTTACTATCGCGACCGCTATTAGATGTGATTTAAAATTTAATTATTAAATTTTAATAATAGTTTGTTTAAAAAAATATTCAGTATTTGTTTAGGTAATAAGCATTATATAACATGGCACAAATAACTATTTTCAATACACATTTTTTACGTTGTGTTTATTTTTTAACTTTTATCAAAAACGATATTCTCGTCTTGTACACATGTACACTGTACAGTATGGATGTTTTTCAAAACTAAAAATAATGCTTAAAAAATCGGTTCACTCTAAAAAATAGGAAAAACTATTTTGGGGGAAATAATGGTTTTATTTTTTTGTAAGATTTTGGTTAGCTTTCTTTATTTTATGGACCGCGAAATTTGTCAGAATTGAAAAATATTAAGTTATTTTTTTTTTCATTTTAAGAAGTGGACACGCTTTTTATAATAATATCGATCCCTGATATTTTTTTGTTTTAGAGAGTGATTGGAATTTTTTTAGCTGATTTGCGTACAAAAGAAAAAGAAAAAAAAGGCTTTTGGAGAATAGGTTTATAACAATAATTTTTTTAATTAAAGAATGAGATTTAAAAAAAAAGTGAAAAAAAAAAATGTGTAAAATTTAAAAAAAAAAAAAATTGCTGACACTGACAGTGACAGCATTAGTTTTTTAACCACACTCTCAAACTTGACATTTGTAGATAACAGCTAAAGTCCAATAACTCAGTCAGAGATCGATTTTTTATCGATGAACTAAAAAAGACCCACCTTCTAAAAATCGATAAAAAAAAATACATATTTTTATTTTAGAATTTAGAGATTCTGACAAAGACGTGACTTCAAAAAGGTCTTTAATGCTTGTGGTATAGTAAAAGAAAGTTATCTGCTCTTGAGCAAGAGAAAATGAAAAATGCTACTAAGCTACAAAAAATAAAAATGTTAATTCTAAAAAGCATCCCCTCCTAATTTTTACGAGTAGACCAGTCTATTTAAGACAATTTGCAACAATATCAGCAAAGGTGAGGCTGCAATAAAACGGTGATAAATTTTCTTACAGAAGTGCCAAAAACTCCGAAGTCACTTAATCAATAAACCCAGTCACAGTCTGTTGCTTCAATGAAGTCTGGTGCTTTAAATTGTAACATTGTTACAGTACTGTCAAATATCGGTTTAATTTGCATTGTAATCTCCAA